GTCAATATTCTTCCTCCCTCCTACCATTTCCAACAATAGCATTGCAAAATTATAAACATCTGACCTATAGGACACATTTCCAAAGTTCCTAGACAATCCCTTAGGCGCAATGTTTCCTATTGTTCCTCTGGTTGCTGTCATAGAAACAGCACTTTGTTCCTTGGAACACAGGTTTGCTAGAGTGAAGTCGTAGATCTTAGGATTGAAGTTATGGTTCAGAAAGATACTCAGAGGCTTGATATCAAAATGAAGGATTTGTTGATCACAACCCTAATGCGGGTACTCAATTCCTTTGGCCATTCCTATTGCAATATCTTGAACCTTCCCCCAACTAAGGGAATGAGTTTGGTCGCTGGTTGCAAAGATAAACTTCTCCAATGATTCATTCAGCATGTACTTGTAAACAAGAGCTCTTTTATTTCCATCTGCACAAAATCCAATCAAGCAAGTGACATTGACATGGTGGATTCTGCACATAGATCCAACTTCATTAATGAACTCTTCTCTAGTTGCTTTGAAATTGTTAAGAACCTTAACAGCAACTAGAACATCATTGGGAAGCCTTCCTTTGAAAACAGTTTCATAAGCACCTTGTCCTAGTTTGTCCTTAAACTGATTTGTTATTCTCTTGATACAGCATAAGAACATCTTGAGGGCTTGAGGGCTTGAGTGCTTTGTAATCCTCCAGAAAATTTTCAATCTTGAGTTGGCCCTCTTTCTTTGATCTATATGAGTGGTGCACACGGTAAAGTCCAATGAGAATTATTACAAATAGACCGAAACCTAGGATTATGCCTGCAGACAGTAGCTTTTTCCGCTAACTGCAAGACATTCCAATAATCAGCAACTTGATGTGTTTATCAAATCAAAAAAAATGAGATACCATATACAAACAAGTCAAAACCAAAGTACCAAACACAACAAACACTAAGGCAATTGAACAACTAAAGTCCAGAAAAATTTTAAACAAGTTAAAACAAGGCAAAATTAAAGGAAAACAACTAAACCAGTGAGAGCATTGCAAGGAGTATTCATAACATTGTCGAATAGTTAAAAGCACAAGGTTGCAGTTTTTAAGTCTAGAATGGCTGAAAACATGATAGTCTGCTTGGGAATGACCAAAATATCATTAATAAATCCACGTGCAAGTCATAATAACATAAATATAAAAGCATACCTCTATCATTCTTGGTGGTACCATAACACTCTGTGTCATCCTGTGTCTTATTATTATTCTTCAGCTTGCATTTGCTACCTACTTCTTCACATTTACTACAATCTGGTTGGGACGAACTCAAATGAACATCCCGTCTGGTAATACAACACATCTATCAGATCAATCACTCCAACTTGCAGAAGGAAACCAAATCTCATTAGATCAATCACTCCACCTCGCAGCAGAAGGAAACCAAATCTCCATAATATATTATATGTATATTGTATTTAATTGTAGTTTCCTTATTTCCTAGGTTAGACAATTCTTGAACTGTATATATATTGCTCTGTATTTGCTTAATAAGATATAACAGCTTAAGCCTCAATATTGGTATCAGAGCCTCTCTCTCTCAAACGAGATTTTTCAATACCCATGGCCTCCTCCAACAGCACCACCCCTGCAGTCGGTGAAACAACCCCAAATTCCGCTGCCACTTTCCTCACTCCAAACAATCGAGGCCCTATCTCATTCAATGCTGGCGCTTTCCCTCTCAAGCTCACCCCGAACAACTACCCATCCTGGCGATCTCAATTCACCAGTTTGCTTGCTAGATATGAACTTCTTGGATTCATTGATGGCACATATCCTTGCCCAGTGGCCACTGATCCACTTTACCGTCCTTGGGCTTGACAAGACCAACTCCTTCGTCATGCTCTCATTACCTCTGTCTCTGAAAGCATCACACCCTATATTGCTGCTGCTCCCACCGCTTAACATGCATGGGAAACCCTTGAGAAACTCTATGCCAACCGTTCCCGCACTCGAGTCATCACTCTCAAGGAACGGCTGCAAAATTTGCGCCGAGATGGTCGTCCTGTCTCTGACTATCTCCGCTCCATCAAAGCTATTGCTGATGAACTAGGAACTATTGATCGCCCCCTCACAGATGATGATCTCACTGTCTACATCCTGAATGGATTGGGTCCTGAGTTTCATGAAATTGCAGCCTCCCTTTGTACTCGTGACTCCTCTTTGTCTTTTGATGATCTCCATGATCGGTTGGTGGCCCATGAAGAGAGCCTAAAACGAGATGAACCCAAACTTGACTCCGCTCCGGTGAGTGCCATGTTTGCTGCTTTTCCTAACTCACAAACTGTTGCAGGCTCCTCTTCCTCCTCTTCATCTGCTGGTCTTCTTCCCACGCCACTTGGTGGTTGACTTGCTCAAAGCAGCATGAGCTCTCGTAATGGCCCAATCTCAAGCTGACCCACTATCAATAAAAGGCGTGGTCCTTTCCCTTGGTTCCCCAACAGGCCTGCACCCATCATCTGCCAGCTTTGTGGTACCCCTGGTCATTCTGCTCGAACATGTTCCCTCTTTCGAACACAATAAGGCCTTCTTGCTAGCATGGCTACATCCTCTGTTGGGTCCCTTGATACTTGGCTTTTGGATTCTGGAGCATCTCACCATGTCACTACTGACCTGGCCAACCTTGCATTACACTCTAAATATCATGGACCAGACGAACTCCAAATAGGTGATGGAACAGGTTTGCAAATTACACATGTGGGGCACTCCACACTTTCTACTCCCTCTACCTCTATTCCCTTGCATAATATCTTATGTGTTCCCCATGCTTCCCGTAATCTATTATCTGTTTCTCAATTATGTGAAAGTGCTAATGCCTATGTTGAATTTCACCCTTCTTATTTTTTACTGAAGGATCGGGCAACGGGGGCGACGATGGCACGAGGTCCAAATGTTCATGGGACATATCAACTTCTCGGAAAAATCAGAATTAAGCCTACTGCTTTAGTAGGAGAAAGAGTTTCATTGGTGAATTGGCACTGTCGCTTGGGTCACCCATCCACAAAAATCCTAAAATCTATTATTAATGTTTATCAATTACCTATTTTTAATAAAAATACTCTTTCTCCATGTGATTCATGTGCTTGCTCTAAAAGTCACAAATTATCTTTTTCAAATTCTTCCATTACCTCTCAATTTCCAGTAGAACATATTTATTCTGATGTTTAGGGCCCTGCCCTTGTTACCTCCATTGATGGTTACTCCTACTTTCTTTTATTTATTGATCTTTACAGTAGATATACATGGATTTTTCCAATTAAACGTAAATCTGATGTTGCCTTAATTTTTCCTCGATTTAAACAACTTGTGGAAACCCAATTTGCACTCAAAATTAAAAATTTTCATTCCGATGGCGGGGGCGAATTTATTGCTCTACAACCTTTTCTATCTCAACATGGTATATCTACTTTTACAAATCCTCCATATACACCCGAATTAAATGGTATGAGCGAGAGGCGTAATCGCCACATCGTTGAAACCGGTTTATCTTTACTTTACACATCGTCCCTCCGTCCTAAATATTGGTCTTATGCTTTCCAAACAGCAGTCTACATAATTAATAGGTTGCCTACTGCTGTTCTTCAATCTATTTCCCCTTTTGAAAAACTATTTTGTCATAAGCCTAATTATCTCAAATTAAGAGTTTTTGGTTGTCTCTGTTTTCCATGGCTGCGTCCCTACACTCACAATAAATTACAACCTAGATCTCGCCCTTGTTTATTTCTAGGCTACTCAATTGAAAATTTAGGGTATAAATGCCTTGATTTACAATCCGGCAAACTGTTTCACTCTCGCCATGTTTTATTTCATGAATGTATTTTTCCCTTTAAAAATTCCTCTAATTCTACTAATCTTAATAAATTTCGTTCATTTTCTAACATGTCCCCATCTCTTAATCACATGCCAATCTCGCCACATTGTTTCGAGCAAGTCACGTCCCATGGTGTCCTTCACGAGCCCGTGCCATCGTCAGAACCTGCTCATGCATCCCAGGTACTTCCAGCTCCTTTATCCTCACCAATCTCATCACCTAGTCCATGTGCCCTTCCCCCTCCCACACTCCCTGGCTCACCTTCCTTGTCTCCCTCCTCTTCCTTAACCCTCTCTAACTCATCCAGCCCATCCACCTCATCCACCTCATCCGACTCTCCCAACCCTCCCTTGGCCCCAACCCAACCTCTTCGAACACACCCTATGGTTACCCGGGCCCAAAACAACATTTTCAAACCCAAGCAGCTCTTCCACACCACTCCTACCCCTGCTACCACCTCCTTGGAGCCCACTTGTGTATCCTAAGTCTTGAAAGAACCTGTTTGGAGACAAGCCATGTCGGAAGAGTTTACTGCATTGGTTCGGCAAGGTACTTGGGAACTGGTGCCCCCAACTCCTGATCAGCATCTTATTGGTTGTAAATGGGTCTTTCGTGTTAAACGAGGCAAAGATGGCAGTATTGAGCGCTATAAGGCGCGTCTTGTGGCCAAAGGTTTTCATCAACGGCCTGGTTTTGATTATTTTAACACTTTCAGTCCAGTCATTAAACCAACAACTATTCGGACTGTTCTATCTCTTGCTGTTAGTCATGGGTGGCCCATTCAACACTTGGATGTTAATAATGCCTTCTTCATGGCAAATTAGAGGAAAATCTATATATGCAACAGCCTCTGGGTTTTGTTGACTCTGACAAACCTCATTTTGTTTGCAGGCTTACAAATCTCTTTATGGATTAAAGCAAGCTCCACGAGCTTGGTTCTGGGAATTAAAATCTTTTATTTTGTCCCAGGGATTTTACAATTCTAAATCTGACAGCTCTCTGTTTATTTATCACAAGGACTCTACTCGGCTTTACTTCCTTATGTATGTTGATGATATTCTTCTCATAGGGAATGACTCTAGTCTACTTCGTTCTCTAGTGCACAAAATGGGGCAATGTTTTTCTCTCAAAGATCTTGGCCCTCTCACCTTCTTTTTGGGCATTGAGGTTATTCAGACACATGCTGGGTTATTGCTCTCTCAACACAAGTATATTCTTGATATTTTGTGTCGAGCTAACATGGATGCTGCGAAGCCCGTCTCCACGCCACTTCCTTCCAGTGCAAATTTGAGTTCTTCAGTAGGTTCAACTCTTTCAAATGGCTCTGAGTATCGATCTATCTTGGGTTCTCTTCAGTATCTTACTCTTACTCGGCCGGATATTTCCTTTGCTGTAAGCCGATTGTCTCAATATATGCATCAGCCTACTGATCTCCATTGGCAAGCCTTGAAACGTGTTCTTCGGTATCTCCGGGGTACTATTTATCATGGATTGCTTCTTCGGCCACAGCCATCTCTATCACTCCATGCCTATTCTGATTCCGATTGGGCCGGTGATCGGGACTCCTCTGTTTCCACCACTGGTTATGTTGTTTTCTTGGGTTCTAATCCAATCTCGTGGCGGGCTGCTAAACAGTGGGCAGTTGCTCGCAGTTCACTGAAGCGGAATATCGTGCTCTAGCTGCCACTGCTTCTGAGTTGATTTGGGTTCGCAATCTCCTCTCTGAATTGGGTGTCTTTGTTCCTCGCTCCCCTGCCATCTTCTGTGACAATGTCAGTGCCACCTATTTGAGTGTGAATCCTGTTCTTCATTCTCGCATGAAGCACATTGCCATCGATCTTCACTTTGTTCGGGACCTTGTGGATCGCGGCTTTCTGCATGTATCTCACATCTCTACCCGTGATAAGCTCGCAGATGGTTTTACTAAGCCCCTTGCCTCTGCTCGGTTTTGTTTGTTACGCTCCAAGCTCGGCATCGCTGATAGCTCTTCCGTCTTACGGGGGCGATATCAGATCAATCACTCCAGCTCGCAGAAGGAAACCAAATCTCATCAGATCAATCACTCCACCTCGCAGCAAAAGGAAACCAAATCTCCATAATATATTATATGTATATTGTATTTAATTGTAGTTTCCTTATTTCCTAGGTTAGACAATTCTTGAACTGTATATATATTGCTCTGTATTTGCTTAATAAGATATAACAGCTTAAGCCTCAATAATATCTTCGTATACCGCTGTCTCCGATATGTTGAGCAACGTTCCTGGTAACTTAGCAAGTTAAAAGCAGATGTATAATCGGGAGGAAAAGCTATAACTTGGAAGCCTGGGACGCTTAAGCAAGGTATCTCATAAAAGTCATAATTAATACCCACAGTTGCTTCCCTTGAACAATTGAAAAGACTGTACTTTGACTTGGTAGAATTGAACTGGAAGGGAGTTAGTCTCAAGTATTGGAAGGAAGATGCAGATAAATTGAGATTGGGAAGTTGCAGAGGAAGGCAACCATGAGGATCATATAACTGAAGGATAATGATATGGACACACAATGGGCAACACCCAAATCAAATCAACACTCAGTTGACCATAAAAGTAAATGACAAATTTACCCTCCCCACATTTCGCAAATGACACTGCAGGAACAAATCCCAGCACTCTTCTCCTTCCCCGAAACCAGATTCAAATTGTATACTTGCTGCGCATTTATACTTGATTTAATATGGCAATTTCAAGCATGTGAAAGAATATAGAATTTGAGGTGCTTTTTGGATGGTACCAAGCTTGTCGATGCTTTCAGGAAAGGCAGCCACTTTCAAGTTTCAACGCCTTTCAGCTCCTCTCTCTTTCTCTTTTTATATTCATCATTATTTTCATTCTTCAATGCTCAAATCCAAAAGGATAGTGTTAATTAGGGGTGAAGAAAGACTAAGGGAATAGAAATCTTTTGTTTTTTGGTTTGATTTTTGTTCAATCTAGTTGTAGGTCGGAGTGGGATATGAAGAAAATCCAACTTACTTTCTCCCTCAAATTCATCTCTTTCTTTTTTTTTCCCCTAAAAACTCATGGGTTCTCCGAGAACCCAGCAGACAAAATGTAAAAAAAAAAAAAAGAAAAAAAAGAAAAAAGAGGAAGAAGGTGGTGGTGATAGTGACGATGGTGATGGAAAACAGAGGGATGAAGGGAAGCGGGCTTGATTGAGCTTTGCTGTGAGGAGGGTAAATTTGCCAGTTTACTTCTACCGGTAAGATGGGTGTTGACCATTATGTGTCCATATCATTGTCTATAACTGAATCCTCTCTGCTTTGTAATCTATACGCTTCACAAACAACTTTACCCTTCGTGGCAGCTCGAGCACAGTATGCCTTTTTTCGCAGGAGAGTTCAAACCCATGATAGCTGCAGTGTTCGGTTGCTGTCCCTTTAGTCGAAACGGGAACCGGATGGTATGGTGGTTGCACTTTTTGGTTTGGCATTCATCATTGGCAGCTTGGAGCTCTGCAACCTTCACTACCAGGAGACAGCAGAAGAGAAAATAACTTTTTTGAAAAAGCTTTCCCCCTCTGAAGTATTGAATCCAAATTCGGTGGGGGTTTGGGATACAGAATACCCAAAAAATGGAAAGAGAAATTTTGAAGAGAACTTATTTTGACTTTTCAAAGGAGGACCCTCTTTTTTTGTTTTTTTTTTTGAAGTTGAAAGTACCTACATGATTTTGGACTTTCTCCTTTTTAAATGATTTTAATCGTGAACGGCCTGCTCCGATAAGTGGCATTGGATCCTGGTTAGAATTGTTCACATTCAGTAAGTTGTACGTTTAAATTTCATGAAATTTTTTTTTTCTCAATTAATCTTATAAATAATTATAAATTATTTTTAAAAAAATAATTTTAATTGTGTTTTTTTGAATAGAATGATTTTTTTAATTATTATTATTATTATTTTTTTTTGATCAGCAAAGAAAATTATTTATTAATTTTTTAATGGAGCACAAGGGGTGCTCCTGCCCTTATACACTTAAAAGGAACTTCACAACCCAAACAGTCCATAATCTAAAGACAGCCAACAGCACAAAGAAAAAGATAAAACAGCTCAATATAACTAATCAAGCCGCACCCCATGCTCTGCACTTTACATCTCAGCCTCAGGCAAGCCAGGATGAATACGTCTCCCCTGTTGCTGCTTAAACACCTTCAAAGACCTCTTGTACCGGGTCAGTTCCCTTGCACATTCCACTGGATTTTTTTGCCACTGAACAAAAGAAAAAACAGACCCCTCTACCTTGTTTCTGATCCATAAATAGGATTTATCTTGAATTAATTCTAACAATTGCTCCCTGATATCCCCATGCTGCTGAAAAACCAAGACGTTCCTCCAATACCATATATACCACGCAACAACAAGAAATATACATGCTCCCATCTTCTTACCCACCAAGCTTCCCATGCACCAAATGAAAAAATCTACCACACCCCTCACCTTATCCGGCATCACAACCTCCAAGCCCCACCACTGGATCACCTTAACCCACACTAGCCAAGCTGACTTACATGTGCAGAATAGATGATCTACATCCTCCACACCCTCCTGACAAAGTCCACATTTCATGCCATCGCCTAGGAGCACCATCCCTCTCTTTTGCAAATTCCACCTAGTTGGCAATCTGTCAAGGCAAAGCCTCCACCCAAAAATACTCACTTTTGATGGCACCATCTCACACCACACTAATTTGCACAAATGGCCTTCAAGCAAGGAATCCACCGAGTCTAAAAGATCATATGCGGTCTTCACAGTATATCTACCTCCTACATCAAAAGTCCACTGCCAATTATCTACTTCAGTCTGCCGAATCTGTACACTACCCAACACCTCCCGTAACTTCTTCTCCTCATCCTTCTCGCGACCCCTTCTCTCTCTCCGCCATTTCATAACCCAGTGCCATCTATCCCCTTCCCACGACCCATTCTCCCTAACCTTGCCATCCTTATTTTCTGCTAACTGGAAGAGTCTTGGGAACGAATCTCGCAGAGCTTTGTTCCCCACCCACATATCTCTCCAAAAACCCACCCGACATCCGTCCCCCACCTCCCATCGAAACCCCTTCACCAACATATTTTTTAACTTCGCTGATTGCCCACTTATGCATAAGATGTCTCCCCAGATTTTAGACAACCTCAAAGTATCCACATCTATTAAACTAACCTCCCCTTCACCGCCATAGTATTTATCTTTCACTACCCTCTTCCATAACCCCTCCCTTCCATCTCCTAACCTATACCACCATTTCCCCAACAACGCCCAATTCCTCCTACGCATATCCGGAACACCTAGTCCTCCTTTCTCCTTACTACAACAGATCGCATCCCATTTCACCCATGCTATCTTCCTCTTATTCGCCGTTGCACCCCATAAAAAATCCCTTTGAATCTTAATCAATTGGTCAAGCACAGACTTTGGCATTAAAAACAAAGACATAAAAAAAGTAGGAAGTGCAGAAAGTACCGAATTAAGCAACGTGAGACGACCTCCATAGGACAGCACAGCAGACTTCCAGGCGGCAAGTTTAGC